GCAACCAACTCGCCTCACCCTCCCCTTCCAAGTATGTAGGAGAAACTACGGTGGCCGCACAACTCGCAAAAGGCAAAAGGTCCTATCTACAGCCAGTGTTTGGTTTGTCCGTTCTGGGCTACTGTAGAAACACTTACACTTTAAGACGGCGGCCTCCGTAGGAGAGGAGCCGCTCCCTCTGTAGTTAAAAATGAGAAATTCTGAGGTAACGAAAACACAACCATTCTTATGTTCATGTAATTACACCTTCTAAATGTTACACAATGCATCTTTAATTACTGAAGTGACTCATGAACTCGTGTTTTGTCATCTTGAGTTTAATCCTCAGAAACAGCGTGGGCTGGATGGTTCTATACTATCCTACCTTTTATTTGTCTGTAATATTAAATATCTGTTCCATCACCCAGATGTTAAAGATTCCTGATAACAAGACCTTCAACAAGCTCCTGATGTCCAGTATGGCTTTCCAGGTACGCTGCAGCACCAAGTCCAGATAATGTAGTCCATCCAGAAAATGTGCGTTCGCATCTACTGCTGCAAAGATTAGGAGTTAGGCTTCATTGAGATAAACCGTTAATTGCGCTAATTCTCCAGTTGGGTGCCATTAAACCACTGCAGAAGAAGACGCAATGAAATGACATAATTCAGAGTGCCAGTCAAACCTCAAACGGTACGAAGCATGATGGAAATATGACATTTCGGTTTGTTTCATTTATTAATTTAAGGAAGGTTACAGTCTCCTCAACACTCCACACAGATCTGATGTTTTCATCTGCTGCTATTTTTTTTGTCTCTCCGGTGGAGCAGACGTTTGAGTGACATGTAAGTTACACGCTTCATGTGCATCAGGATTTATTGGCTTTGCCTCTGTTTTTTGCTAGGTTTCGATTGCACTTGGGCGCATTTTGTTTTTATTGAACTTTTCCATCTCAGCCAGCATAAGAAATGTTTTGCAATATTTTGCCTCTTTTTCAAATTTACTGTTTTCACTGTTTTTTAAAGCACAAATTGAAAACCTGCATACAAACAGGTGGATGGAAATGCACTCCCTGACTGTTTCTGAACTGCCTCTTTGTATTTTCAGGAATTCAGTGACTGCTTAATGAATTATTTGCATGATGAAACAGTCAAAGGTTACAATTTGGAAGAGATGAGAGACTGATTTTGTGTGTTTTCATTTCATGCTAGGCACATGGCGTTTAGCCCATTTGGCAACCAAAATGCCTGTTTTTGTCTTACTGGACATGTAGCTCATTTTACATCTGACACAATTAATCAATTAATTGACTAGTTGATCCTTTCATCCTGATGTTTTTTCCCTATTTTCAGCCTCTCTGGATCTGCTGTCTTTCTTTGTCATGTGTAATAGCTAACTTAAGATCTTAAAGTTTTGGATTGTTGGTTGGATAAAACATGAATTTGACATCCTCACAGAAATCCCGTTTGGCTTTATGAAATGATGACAGGCATTTTTCATTAGCGGATGTTGAAAGTAGCCATTAGTTGCAGCCATAGTTGCTTTTACTGTCTGCTTCTGCATGGAGTTCCCGTAGATTAAGTCTTCTCGTGTCAAATTAATGCTATATCCAACAGTTACATCAGACAGATGTTGCACAGAAGTCTTCCACGGGGGCAAGACCTTCTGCTGTGAAGAAGCTTCCTGAGACCATCAGGGATAATGTGGACAGAGAGAGCAGTTCCTTACCATCACAGACTCTCCAGGGTGCCATCATGGATGTGAAGGAGGTGCGACAGTCAGACACTTCAGATCCAGGAGGAGGGGAAAATGTGAGCAGAAAGGCAGGGGAAGGGAAGGGGAAATGAGGAAACAAATATGAAGCATGGTTAAATAAAGACTGTTATTTTTCACAGTGCAGTAAGTCAATTGATTGTGAATCAATTCCATGTACAGCACTTTGACTGTGTGGCCTCAGTGTTGACACAGATTATTTATTGTGAATTCCTAGCTTGGCTTTAAAACTCAATCACTCTCCCAGCCACAGAAACACACACAAACATATAAATCCTTCCCCAAAAACAAATAGTTTCAAGAGCGGGTCTCTGCACTCATCTCCCCTCCTTGTTTGCTTTCGGAAGTTGCAAAGGTTAGTGAAAGATATGTTTGTCTTTTTCCACTTCATTGAAGGGTGAACTCAGCTCAGTGCAATAAGAAATGGATTACCCATTCATTAAAGGGGCTGCGTCACTCCTCATTGAGTTGGACAAATAGCAAATTAATTTCTAGCCGCCTAATTTCTCTCTGTTCTCCACTGAATTTCCGATAACGTCGAATTACTGATCACAGCCATGTGAACTCCCTCAACTTTTTATCAATTCATTAAAAATGTGCCACAGCGGAGATGCTACAGAGGAAATTCTCTCTCTTATTTCTGCATGCTTCCTCCACCAGCACAACACTGTATACAAACAGAGATCAACTCAAGTGTTTAATTGAAATTAGGATATTAAAAACACCAGAAACCGTTACAGAAAGTGTTGGAAGAAGTTACTTTGTTGCCATTTTGAATCAGCCATAAACTTTTAAACCAGTGCATCCCAATATGAAACAAAGATGTCAGAGTGATAGCAGCTCTGTCCCAGTCAAGTGCAGGTCTGAAGGTAGTGGTGTTTTGTAAAGTAGCAGTAGTGTATTGACAGGGCAGTATTGATGTTTCAATTAGAGCAGCGTTACATAGTGCCGCAGCATGGTAACACGGTGCGTCTCCTGCCATCTGCTCTGCCTCCACGTCTGACGAACGAGGCACGTGGGGCTAATCGAGCCGCACATGAGCGATGGGACCACGAGATCTGTCTCACACACACACACACACACACACACACACATCCTATACGCACGTCCTTATGCAGAAAAATGGGTGGGAGGGGGGAGACGAGGGAGAGCTCCTCAGCCCCGCTGTTTAAACAGCCTTCAGAAAGCCTGTGATTCCTCCCCTTCTCCCTTCACATGTGCCACAGGAGCAGCCAGCAGGTTATTTCTCTGACAAGGAAACGGGCAAACGCACCAGATGCACGAGTTAAAAATCTTCAAAAGCTCATCTGACGGAGAAACAAAAAAAAGGGAACAGCTTCTGCCAGGTTTTCTCGTGCTGGGACGGTCTGAAATAACAGTGTGCATTATGCCTGCCGTTATTGCCTGCCAAACCACACGAATCAAAGACCTCATTGTGTGGATTACCTCGTTAATCTGTTGATGCCATTGAGTAGTATTGCAGGTGTTAATGTGCCAGGTTTTTTCTCCCTCCTTGCGCGCTCTGCTCTCGGTCTGTCTCTCTCTCCCTCTCTTCTCTTATTGGGGAGGTGTAGCGTTAGGTTGGTAATCTGCTTTAAATGCTTTCTGGGGAATGAGACAGGCTGAAACCCAGCCAGGAGAACTCTGCTATCATGAAGAGCGTTCTCTTAATACAGCACACAGAGGGGACTGACAGACTGAGGCTAGCGGCGCCAGTGACAACGGGGACAAGCTAGTGAGCTACACGCCCCACGCCACTTGTTGAAATATATGACTGTATGAATAATGAAAGAGGAAGAGGAAAGTGGTATTGCTAAAGCAGTCCCACAATGACATCCATCACAGAAATGCCTCGTTGCTCTCCTTCCTCTGTTTCCTCCTGCAAAAAAAAATAAAACTCCCAAGTTGTGTCTCTTTGGAGGAGCGAACCAAAGCTCAGCTCTGTGCCTGCCTGAGCTGATTTAGAGGTGAACTCCTAAACCAGAAAGAGAAGAGCGAGATAAAGAGACAGACAGAGAGAAAGACAGAGGGAAAGGGACAGAAAGAGAGGTAATCCTCCCTTTTTTCTGCTCCCCAGGGTGGTCTCTTCATCCAGGGCCTCAAAGAGGGACAGAATACACCTCCTCGCTACAATGGAGGGGACCCACAGGGGCTGTTGCTGTCTGAGTGTGTGTGTGTGTGTGTGGTGGGGGTGCAGCTTTAAGCAGGCCTTTGAGTGGCCTAATTGCATTGGAATACAGCAGTCTGAGAGCTGGCTCAGATCACGGCGGGCTGCTGGAGGGGTTAGCGCCCGCACCTCGACAGCCACACTCAGCAAAAGAGCCCCGGCACAATGCACACAATTAATGCTCTCCCTCTCGTTAACTCTCTCCCCACTTTTTGTCCTCTCCTACTTCTCTCATTCTCCTCCTTCTCGCCCCATATCTTACTCTCTCTCCTCTCCCTCTCCTGCCTCACCCCCCTCCCTCCGTCCCCCAGTATGTAGTCACTCACCCACTGTATTAATCCTCCCATACAGCCTGTCAATCTCCCTCTCTCTTTGATGCACACAACAATTACAGTACGGATGAAAGGCGTGGGTCGGCTCACGTTATGTAAGACTTGAAACAAGCCTTGGTGAGAATTATTGATATCTGAACAGCTAATCTGAAATAAAACCTCAACAACGTGACATCTCTGTTATTACTTTTGCAACAATTGATCTGCCCTTGATTAAAAAGTATTGAATGTTTTGTATTTCGGTGTAACAATGCAAGTTACATTGTTATAACTCGGGATATCTTTTATTTGGAAGATACAATCTTACAAATTCAAAGAGACTGGTTCAGTTCTCACGATTTTTGACTTTGTGTCTAGTCTGGTATGAGCCACACAAGTCAAAGCTGTGCAAGGTGGTGGAAGCAAAGCAAAGAAATGTCCATTTATTCATGAGTATTCTCTCAATATGAGGCTGCAAGAAACCAAAAATACTCCAGCAGTGACTATTTTGTGTCTTTGTGGCACTAAATACTATTATTAGACATCTTATTGTACCTAATAGGATTACACTATAGTAGTATAATAGTCCAGCTATCATCATAACAGTATTTAATAGGGTAATATGCCTATCTATAGTAAGAGATGAAATAATTACTCGATAAACAGATAAAAATTTATCTGCAATTTTAATAATTGATTTCTTCAACTCCTTTGACAATAATCTGAACAGGTTTGGGTTTTGTCCAATTTAAATGCCCCCCTAGACATGTTTTAAGACATAGATATACTGTGCTTAATAAAATAATAATTTGGGTCCCATATTGAATTACCTCGTTGAAAATTCTTAACGTCACATCTGCTCCTTCCCCCTAATAATACAGAATCGATAAATATGCAAATATTTTTTATTTCAGAAGTTAAAGTACTAGCCGCAAGATGTCTCAGGCTTCACTGAAAAGCCTCGTCACACACCGCATACTGGGCCGTGATTGGCTTTCAGACCGGTTGTGACATCACATCCAGGTGTTAAACTGAGATTTAAAGTGAGCTCAGAGAAACTTTTCCCTTTTAGCAGATGAAGCTGAAACTCTGCACATACATCATTCTGCACAGTGAAGCTCCAAACATCCAAGTCAAGTAACAATGAGCTAAATTAATTTCTGACTAAAGGGGGCTTTAAATATGCCATCGTGGGTTCTGGGGAGCAATTTTCACTCATTAGATCATGTGAATAATTGTTAGTTGCAGCCTTACATACACCCATTTTGCAGTGATTTTTGTATAGCATCCTTCTGAAAGTTATTATACAAGGACTATATTTCTGTCAGAAGGGTTGAGTTACTGTGCATTGCTCCTACAGTAGACGGTGGACAGTTCATTAAATGGGTTAATGTAGTCAGACAGATCCCAGCCTCTTTACCTCCAGGTTGGACTCTTTAAATGGAACTCGGTGGACTGTGTGTGTAGAACAATCAATGATTTTAAAAAACATATCATATTTAACCAGCCCCTCCTCTGATTTTCTTTATTACACGAGCCGTGTCTTAATAAAATCTAATTATTTCCGCTCGCAGGACGCTTTCTGGTGAGAAATTGGCAGAGGGATGTGAGCTGATGTATGGGGAGACAGTCGCCTAATTAGAGCGTTAGAAATTGAATCTTTACAGCACACGGGTCATATAATTATCCTACTGTTAATTTAACGCTTACATTCTCTGCTGTTCATTTTTATTCCTTTAAATGTAGTTTGGCAGCGGCCCTCGGTGCTCAGCACTGTGTTTTTACTGTATAAGAGGAGGCAGCATGGCCCCTAACACTGGCCCCTCTGAGTGATTGAATAACTGAGGACCCTGCAGTCCAAATAACAAGGCTCGCATCATTTATGCATTGTTAAGCCATGTAATTGAAACGAGCCATAGTTTGCATATTACACCATTAAAATAATGTGCTTTGCGTTTCTCCCAACACGACTATTTAAGCCTGTGTGGTGATGTGGTAATTCCTTGAATTACAGCCTAATTACCACAATGTTCTTTTGATTTGGCCGATTTCAATGTTACGCCACAATAATGTTCAATATTACCAGAATGAATTACTGAGCCGTGCCTGGAAACTTTTTCTCGTATGACTTAAATCCTGGCGGCTTCATGTGCCATCAGTGCAGCTGGATTCACATCCATAAAGGATTATTAGCCTATGAAATGAGATCCATTAAAGGCCCAATCAGTAATACTTAATTGAAGAGCTTGAGTTATACATGGAATATGAGCATTTTGTGCTTCTCAGCTGATCATCATTAGCCTGGTTTATATCCCTGTTTACAGGTATCATTAATGTAAACAGACCAATGATGTCAGAAAACAATAGATTACAACAATAGATAGATTTATAATTACTGTTGTCTTGTTCATCCTTCCAAAAAAAAACACACCTTAATATTTTGCTACAATTTGGTTGCACATTGTGCCTTTAAAGGATAAAAATAACAAACTTTGTTTTTAATATATAATTTTAAATCCCTAGATGCATTTTAAGGTGATTACATTGTATGTTTTATTCATCTTTGTTAGTGAGATGAGAGATTAAGAATCTCTGTTTTCCCCTCTAAAGCAGCATCAATACAAAGAAAAGTTGAAGAACAACTTAAACCAGTGTTATGAAATCTAAAACGGGGATTAGAGAACATTTTGTAATTAGCACTTTGCCTTTGTTACACACCCCTGTATTGTTCACACACCTCGGTCTAAACACATGACATGTGTCCTTGTGTGAACTTTTGGAATAAATTACCATTGCTAAGAATGATTTGTGTGCGTGCGTATTCAGCATGTAGACGTTTCTGTTTTTTTTACTGCGCACTTTGAATATTTTTTGTGAAAATATTTCATTGATAATTGCTTTTTTACTGCCTTTTAATTTTACTGTTACGTTCAAGTTATTAAATAAAATGTTTAATTACACTTTGAGTCATTTGCATAGTTTAGAAGTTATAAATTGTGGATATTGAAGAACTGCCTCCATTGATTTATAGGTTTAATTTGTGGCCAGTATGTATATTACTTTATTTCTAGTGGATTGGGTTATTGGTGCCATAGACCAACCAAAATCGCTCTTTAATTGCATATATACAGTAGGAATTATTAATGGCTTCTAATATCCCAAATGAAGGGACTGCTTCAGAAGTTAGCAACTTGAAACGTACTTGTGCCAAGCCAAATTTTTGTATTTTTTCTCCCACAGTTTGCTTTATGTCACTGCAGTGTGAGGAGCAGCTTTGAGAACAGACATAATCTCTCTCATCTTTTTCAGTTTTCCAGCCCTTTCTCCCTCTCAGGGCCCTGTGCTCTTTACTCCTCCCTCCTTTATTCCTGCGAAGGCTTTGTCCCAGCAGCAGAGAGCCTCTCTAAATAGAGGCCTTTAGATAGTCCAGGAACAGGGGAGGGGGGAAGGGGGGGAGGAGGGGGGGGGGGGGGGAGAGCAGCAGCGACGCGACTGCTGTTGTTTCATTTACTCTCCCTATGGCAACCAGCAGCGGTCGGCCAGGAATGTCCCCTCTCTGGACAAAGTCCTGGTCCCTGAAGCTGACATCGGGGGGACGACAGCTGGGACGGGTTGGAAACCTACCCTCCCTGCCCTGGACTGGAGGCCTGAGTCTGGACTTAATCCTCCTCTTCACTTGTGTCTGTCCTCACTTTACTGAATGATGAGCAGCCAGAGAAGCTTTTCACACACTATTACCTCTAAAAGAGTTGTATATAAGAGCTGAAAATAATTTCTAAATCTCTTCTGGTGATGTAAAAAATCCTCAAAGGCTTTCACTACTGTTGCACCACGGTCTTATGACCCCACATAGATCCTTTACAAGGCTGTAAACAACCATTTAGGGGCAGATGAGATGCTCCAAAGTACATTTATTAAAGAGAAACCATATAAATGGTATATTTCAATGTTTAAAAAAGTAATTTAAGCTGTATATAGAAGCTTAACTTTAATCCAGGGTGCCTCCTTTTTCTGTGTGTAGCCACTCCTCCAGAGGCAGCCTTGTTATTTCACTTTACAGCCTGGTTGGACACAAAAGTAGATTTGTTTACTTTATGGGCTGTTAAAAGTTTTCAAGACAATTAAGACATGAAAGATGTCTACATTTCCAAGACTTCACTGAGAAACATGTACTAACCTACACTTTTACACACTGATAAATGTTAGTAAAATATCAGGATTCTGCCAGGGATAGCTTTAATATGTAGAAACATAATGGACTTTACAGGGATGCAGCCAAAGTATATTTAAATGACAGATATCTCAATTTAAACTGCTGTTAAAGCTTTACCTAGCTGCTGTTAGGACAGATAAGAGGGGGCTACAGGTCAGCAAATGTCCATTTCACTCACGATTTAATCCAATTTATTCACTTTTTATTACATTGAAGTTTTTATTTTAATAAAATGGATTTGATTGAAACGTGTCTGAGCTTCTTCCTTCCAGATATCTCGATTTAGAAAAGGGAGCTAGTTACATTATAGATTTATTTCTCCCACACCGCACCATGCCACATCTCAAAAACACAGTGAACTTTATGTGACAGATTGTGTTTAATCCGCCTGTTGTTTGAAACCCGCTTTAAATCAATTAGATTTCAAAATAAAATGCTTTGTTTGTTTCGTGAGATTAAAATGTCAGTGTTATATTTTATCTTAACTTAAAACTAAAGGCTGATTGATAGACTATGTAAAGAAAAATGCCACATACATATTCCTTCATACACACACGAACACACAAAACGCTGCACAATAACATATTAATATGCACACGTCTAGAGCGTCTTAGCAGAAATGTTGCAACACTGCAGCATTAAAACGTTCACTTTCTTTCAAATAGGCCTTGTCTATAAATGAATGTGCACATTATAAAGAAACGCACGTGATTTTAAGTCTAACAATCTTTGCTGAGATGACAACGTTTACATCGCCTAATCTAATTAGCTACACACACATTTAATATCATCAATGTGCGCAGAATTACTGTCAATTAACAAAATGTAAAATCTAGCTCAATAAACAGCTGTACATCCTACACAACAGAGCTTTTGTATTAATCTTCCCTAGAGAGGAAACCCTGGTCCCCTGGATCTAGACTACCTACAGTCTTGATTATCAAAGTAAATCAACTGTATCTTACAGTTGCACTGCTGATCCCGGTGCTCCTTCTCCCCATGCTGCACTCCGGCTCTCCGCTTCCACGGGAGCCTCAACTCGCACCTCTCCAACAAAGAGAGTAGTGTTTGTTGAGACTTTCCCGCAGCCAATCGCCGCGCCGTTGCCCTTGGTAACCACGTCCATCATCTTTTGGCGTCCAATGAGCGGCGGGGGCGGGGCGGAGTCCAGGTGCGCCTCGGCGTCCACTTGGCAGAGCGCCTGGGAGCCGCCTGTGGGCAGGAGAGGATCTGTCAAATGCGAGGTTCCTTTAATAAGAGCGACCAGTCCGGCTCCGAGAGTCATGGCGACCGCAGCGTCTAACCACTACAACATCCTCACCTCCAGCGCATCCATCGTGCACTCGGAGCCCGGCAGCATGCAGCAAGCCACGGCGTACCGGGACGCACAGAGCCTGTTGCAGAGCGACTACCCGCTGCAGAGCAACAGCCACACGCTCAGCCACGCACACCAGTGGATCACGGCGCTGTCCCACGGAGAGGCAGCCCCGTGGTCCTCCAGCCCGCTCGGCGCGGAGCAGGACATCAAACCCGCGGTGCAGGGCGCCCGGGACGAGATGCACAACTCCAGCAGCAACCTGCAGCACCAGTCGCGGCCACCCCACCTGGTGCACCAGACGCACGGGAACCACCACGACGGCCGGGCGTGGAGAACCACCACCGCGGCGCACATACCGAGCATGGCGACGACGAACGGCCAAAGCCTTATTTACTCCCAGCCGGGCTTCAGCGTCAACGGGCTGATCCCGGGCAGCGGGCAGGGGATGCACCACCACAACCTAAGAGACAGTCATGACGACCACCACAGCCCGCACCTCAGCGACCACGGCCACCCTGCGTCCCAGCATCAGCACCAGCACCGGCCGCAGAGCCACCACGAC